GATGACTATACATTTTGTCTGCAAAATAAAAGTTCAATAAAAAAACCAACTGTCCTTGAATTTATCAAAAATTATATATATATATATTATATATATATACAGTATATACTATATATATATATGTTTATTTTAAGGCTATTAATAATAAAATATAAGATAATTTTTAATATACAACTAGCGTATGGAAACTATACTATAATAATAATTTATTTTTGTTTTAAATATTAAAATTATTGAATGTTTTAAAATTTATATATTAAATTTACAACACTTTTAAATTAATTAGTTTTAAATATTTGTTATTATTATAATATTATTTCTCTATATAATATCATGTTAGCTATGTAATGATATTTTATTTAAAAAATATATAGTATGATATTATTAATTTTTATTTTTATTATTATTATTATTATAAATTGTTTTTTTAAATTAATACAAATAATAATGCTGTTACTAACCTCATTATAATAATAATAATAATAATGACAATTTACACTATAGTATCCTTAAAAACAATTTTCTAACTTTATATTAATATACTGTATGTATGGATAGTTATTATTGTATATGAATTATACTGTATATTATGATATTATTATTATTATTATTGTTATTATTCAGCAATTTAAATGAAACCACAAAAATATATTATTATTAATATTACATGAATTGAATGAATGAATTTAATAAATAGATAGATATATACCCACCTTATTATAAATAGTATATATTATTAGATATATATATATATATTAAAAACAAAATGATAATCAATCATACATTGTAATGATAATTTTTTTTTAAAAATAAATATAAAATTATAATCATTATATACCATATAATATTATGTAAATAATATTTAATACCATGTATCATCAAATTATACAGTATATTATTAGGATTATTATTATTATTACTAAATATATATATATACGGTATATATATATATATATATATATATATATATAGAGAGAGAGAGAGAGACAGAGAGAGAGAGACAGAGAGAGAGAGTAATAACATATATACTATATAATTGGCAGTATATTTAACCTCTAATTGAAAGTTAAAAACATTAAATTACTAATAATTTTCAAACTATTAAAATTTTTCATATGAAAATACATAGTTTAAATTTTATTTAGTTTATTTTTTTAAAAAAATACATTGACTTTAATGTTATTTTGAAATAAAAATAAATGATAATTTAGTTATTTTGTTGTTGTTGTTGGTTTGTATGTTATAATTCATAATCTCATTACAGATATAAATATATTTTTTAATGAAATATTTTTTTTAAAAAGTATATAAACCAATAATTTGTTGAATTTTTTTTTTTGGTTTACATAAAATAAAAAGAGTTAACTATATATATAATATATGATAATTAATGGGATATTGAATTGAATGAATAATTTATATATTTTACAACCTAGGATATTTTTTTAAAAAAAAGTTCAAAAAACTTAATTTTTTAAAGATTATTATAATTATTATTATAAAAATTATTACTATTTTTTAAAAATACATATAAATAGATAGACAAACCTATATATATATTTAACTTAACATTTAAAAAAAATATTGATAATAATAATAATAATAATAATAACTTATATGTACTTATAATTGTGTCTAGGCACATTTTTTTGAAAAATAAATAAATAAATACAAAAATAAATATTTAAGTTAACCCTAATAATACTTATCATTTTTTTTTTAAATTAATACAAAATTATTAATTATTAAAATTTATAATATATATCGATATATTATAAATGTGGGTTAGGCATATTTTTACTACATACAGGTGCCCCCTCCCTCCCCACTCCTAATCAATTGAATGTTGGGTTAGACCATCCGACCGGGTTATGGGCATAGACTTTGAAGGCAATCAGATCCTGTTGGGTATAATCGACATCCAGTTTCACTACATAAATGGTGTTTCGGTCGCTTTCATTGCTATTAACTATATTTTTATTACAACAAAAACAACAATAACAAAAATAGGGTTATTAGTGGACCGGGGGTTGGGGTGTGTAGGGTATGGTAGCTTTTAAAAATAAAACTTACTGGCATTAAAATCGGCCCAATATTCCTGCTGATAGTAGTTGAATATACCTCTATAGGCTATACGATATTTATCGACTGGTGGGTCGACAGTTGGCTGATCTATCTGTAGGGTCAGGTATGCCTTGGATACACCAGCTATTAGTTGGGGTATGAATGGATATGCAAAACAAACAATAATATATATATATATATATATAGTTATTATGTATATATTAGCTATACTATACATACCAAACCCTAGACTATGGCTCAGTATGACCGGATGGCCAGGTATTTGTCGTACAGTTATCTTATATGATGTCTCGTAGGTCCGGTTATCCAGAATCGTACGGCACTTGAACTCATCCAACAGCCGGACAAACGGATAGTTGACTTTCAATTCAATGTAATCGTGTTTTTGAGTCATGTTTTTTGATAAACGTTTAAATTTTTCTATAGTAATATATATGAAATAAAATACAGTATATATACGGTATATATCGGTATATATCGGTATATATATATATAAAAGTTTATTGATGTTTGTATGTATACATGCAATAAAAAATGTAAATTAGTTTATTTTATATATATATATATATACTGTATATTAACTACTACTGTATATAAAAATAAATAAATAATAATAAAAAAGTTTCAATAGGGTTATCCTTAATAAATATATATATATATATATACTGTATATATGTATATATTCCCCAAAAAAATAATACTAAAATTTTTCGAAACATTTTTGTTTGTTTTTTATCTATTTTTGTTTTGTTCCTATTGTTGTATTGAATACTTAACTTTAAAGTTTTATATAAAAAAAATAAAATAATTAAAATTTAACTAATTCTTTTTGTAAAACTTAAAAAAACAAAATCATTGATTATTTTTTTAAAAATTTGTTTGAAATAAAAAAGTAATGTCCGATCTCTATGTATAGTATATATACAATATATATATAGGGGTTAACTAACTAATAAACTTTTTAAAACAAATTTCAAAACACAAATATAATAAAAATTTAAATATATTTTAGATTTTTTTAAATAAAAAAAAGTCAATGACTTTATATATAGAATATATAATGATATTTACCACTAATTTTATGATTATCTTTCGTAAGCCAATCGGTTTTAGTATAGTTTATGCCATTATTTAGTTGAAAATCATTGGAAATTGTCTGACATCTGAAAACATATAACGGATAATCTTTTTGATAGTTTTCTGTAATTAAAATTTCATTTAATTTTTTCCGATTATTATTTGTATTTGAATTGTGATTATTAATGTCATTAATCTCTTCAACTTCTTTGCCATTATTATTATTATTATCGTTGACTGTCTGGTCATTGATGTCGGCATCGATGGTAATATTGCTGACAAAAATGTGCTGAAAATAAATAATAATATTTAAAAAAAATTATCAATAAAATAAAGGGTTAAACAAAACAACAATAAATTAAATGATAATTAAATGCAAATGCAATTCAAGTTTTCAAAAAAAAGTTGTTTTGTATTATTAGTACTAATAGTAGTACTTATTATACAAAAAACAATATAATAATAATACTAATACTATATTATGTAATAAATAAACTATTATTTAAATTAAATTTTTTTTTTGAAATAAATAAATAATTTATTTTATTTTTTGAAAAATACTTACACTTTCAGTACACGTATACTTGGATTTACTACTAATACTAATATCATTACTATTACTATTAGTATTACTAGTATTACTACTACTATTATCGCCGCAAACACAATAATGTTGGCCATTGGGCGCCGGTATACACATATAGCCGCACCGGGCATTGCGGCACCGGTCGACTACTACTACTAGTTGGCCAGCGGTTGGCGATGGTTGCCGACTATGATGTAGGACACGGATGCTATCGATTTGATGATCCGATTTGACAACCGTACGTACATGTGCTGACTTACCAAACTTATTGGTAGCTAGTATTGAATTAGGTAGTACCGATGACCTGCCTGTCCAAAATATATAGTCACTGTACATATCCAGCGAGGTAGTCATGGCAAACATTGCCGATCGCAAATGAGTGACCCGTTTCTGGCCGGAAAACCCGACCGACTCGAGTGACTGGTGTTTGTTGTCGACAAAAAACACGCGTTTAATCTTGTAGTCAATGGACAGACAGCACGGTTGGGTTACTAGTGGTGGTGTCGATCCCGATCCCGATCTCGATGTCGATCCCGATGACGGGTCGTAGCCATAGACTCCCAGATCTAATAATATCTATGAAATAATTTTTTGTTTATATTATATCACAAAAAAAAGTTTTGTTATTTTTTTTGGTTGTTTGAAAAATAATGTTAACAATAGTACTAATAATATTAATAATATAATGTTTTTTTTATCAAATAAAAACTATTTAATGATATTGAATGTTAAAAAATTATTTCTATAATAATATACAGGTATTTACTGAATCGTTAAAATAAAAATTTTTTTAAATGACTGAAAAATACTACTAATAATTATTTTTTTTAAATATTTCTTAAAATATTAAAATAATTTTCTTCAATCATAGGTTAGTATTATTATAATTATTATAAACAAAAATCTGGTATTTTTATATTACTTATATTATTATTATTATTAATGTATACTAATAACTATCATATATTTTGTTAGTCATTTATAATTATTATAAAAAATGATAAATACATGAATCAATTTGTTAATAAAAAAATAAATAAAAGTGACAAAAAAGTAGCAATTTTTTCAAAAAAAAAAATTAATATTAAATAATGTAATATTTATGTTAAATCGTATGAATAATTTAAGGTATTTTTTAAAACATAAAAAAATTATCATATAATATGTATATACAGTATAATTCATGAATAAATTATTAATTATTTTTATAACTTATTAGTATTAGAGTTATTATTTTTTTCAATGACTAATATATTTTATTATTTAAAAGTAAAATAAAATTTACAAATAAAATCTTAAAGCTATTAAACTAAAGTATAATTTTTATATATTTTAGTTTAATGCTAATTCTATAAATTATTATCTAGCAACTTTTTTTTAAGTAATAATAATAATATATATATATTTTTAAAAAAAATTAAATAATTATAACATAAATTAATTAAATTTATGTTATAATTATAAACTAATTGTAGACAATAAAAAAATAGAAAATAATTACCAAAAATAAAAACTAAATATTTATATAACAAAAAAAGTTATCATAAGTTATATTCAATACACAATTTGCTGCATATTTTTTTGTCAGATCTCAATCCCCTAACCCCCTAACCCCCTCCCCTAACCAACTGACCTGTATTTAAGTAGTTAACACAACAAACAAAAAAACATAACTTACCCCAGGGTTGGCACCATTTTGCTCAGCTCTCATCAGCTTATAATCATAGGTACGTCTATCCAGTCGTAGCCATACTATAAACGAGTCAACCGGGTTGACCACTATATCGACGGCCATCACTGCCGCCGATGCCGGTGACGGTGCCGACGGGACAACCGTTTTCACACGTTGCGACTGTAAACTAATCACTTTGATTTGACCCTGTTCAATATAATACAATAGATCATGTATCCAATCCAATGATAACCGATGAACATCCCTGGTTTCTAGTAAAACTTTTTTGTTGGCCAACCCTAACATGTTTTTTAGTTTACGATTCAACGGTGCGACTATTATGGAGGAAACGTTACTCCAGAGTAAATAGTTGTCGTCGATGTCGTACTCGATATCGTTATCGCATCCGATATTGTTGTTTGAGATGGTGTTACCTATCGATGACTGTTGACTACCAGTGCCAACACCACCGCCACCGCCGATAAAGTTGTTGTTTATCATAGGCTGCTGTAGACGTATGATAGATGATCGACCCGATCGCCGACGGCCAGCTCTAGGAGGCCGACCATTGCCTACAAAACCATTGGTCCGACTTTTGTAGATTATCTGTGGCTTAGCCGCCAGTTGGCTATCATTTAAGGTGACGACACGTATCTCGCGATTTGAATTGCAAAACAATATTTCGGCGCTTTTTTGCTGCGGTCGTTGTGGTAGTAGTTGTTCATCGCCGCCATCATTGACGGCACCAGTAGTTTCACAGTTGATCCATGAGTTGGTGATAATAGTTGTTAATATCAGCGACAATATAGTTGTTGTTAATAAATACATGATTTTTTTGACACAATCTTTTTGTTTAGTTTTTTCTATTAATTACTACTATTTTTTGTATAAATATTAAAATCACTAATAATTAGTATTTATTTTTTAAATTATTTATTATAAAAAAACTTAATTTACTATATATACTGATTGATTGATAAACTTATAGATGATATACAACACTGTTTTTTAAACACTTTATAAATAACTAAATAAAACTTTTTAAAAAACACAACTTTCCCTTTTTGATAATGTTTTTTTGAAATACTAATAAATATATATATAGTTTAGCTCTCAATAATAGCTAACAAATTGTTTGTATGTTTTCTTATATATATATATATCAATATATATTCATTGAGTAGTTGTGTTGTGTGTGTCGTTGAGTATTGAGAGGATTGAGAGGTATGTCTTAAATAGTTTTATATATACTGTATATATATATTATAATAATAGTTAAATAACACACATATATATATATTGTATATAACATTAACCCTACTTTCTATATGCAGGTTATCTCCGTCTCCTCTCTCTCTCTCTCTCTCTCTCTCTCTCTCTCTCTCTCTCTCTCTCTCTCTCTCTCTCTCTCTCTCTTTCTCTCTTAGAGTCAATCACTTACTCACTCAATGAAACCACTCTTTCTTAATAATAATTTCTGTCAAAACATCTCTCTCTCTCTCTCTCTCTCTCTCTCTCTCTTTCTCTCACTGTTTTGTAACCAGTTTTTTGTTAGGAGAGTAACATAATTATATACTTTCTCTCTCTCTTTTTGACTCTCTCTCTCTCTCTCTCTCTCATATAAAATAAAAACATAATGAGTCTTCAAGTTAGAGAGTGAACAGCCCCATCAAAAAATTGTTTCATATATACTGTATATATATATATATATAAATAGAGGTTAAGGTTCGTAACACACACACACATATATATATACACACATATACACACATACATACATACATACACACACACACACACACACACACACACACAGACGCACACACACACACACACACACACACATACATACATACACACACACACACACACATACATACATACATACATACATACACACATACATACATACATACATACATACATACATACATACACTTGAGGAATGCCATCAAATTTATACATGACATCCCTTTGTGTTATGTTAGACACAAATAGTATAATATTAAAGTTATATACTTTTTATTATACTATTTGTTACTCTTTTTTATAATACATGTCTT